ATTGGTGGCTGACTAAATACTTTTTTTCCCCACTGTATCTCAAAATCAACTGTTCAGAGGGGACTGTGTGAATCAGGCCTTCATGGTCGAATTACTGCAAAGAAACCACTACTAAAGGACACAAATAAGAAGAAGAGACCTGCTTGGGCCAAGAAACATGAGCAATGGATATTAGACCAGTGGAAATGTGTCCTTTGGTCTGGAGTCCAAATTTGAGATTTTTGGTTACAACCGCCGTGTCTTTGTGAGACGCGTGTGGGTGAACGGATGATCTCCGCATGTGTATTTCTGACCGTAAAGCATGGAGAAGGAGGTGTTATGGTGTGGGGGTTTGCTGGTGACACTTTCTGTGATTTATTTAGAATTCAAGGCACACTTATCCAGCATGGCTACCACAGCATTCTGCAGCGATACGCCATCCCATCTGGTTGGGCTTAGTGGGACTATCATTTGTCTTTCAACAGGACAATGACCCAACACACCTACAGGGTGTGTAAGGGCTATTTTACCAAGAAGGAGAGTGATGGAGTGCTGCATCAGATGAGCTGGCCTCCACAATCCCCCTACCTCAACCCAACTGAGATAGTTTGGGATGAGTCGGAACGCAGAGTGAAGGAAAAGCAGCAAACAAGTGCTCAGCATATGTGGGAACTCCTTCAAGACTGTTGGAAAAGCATTCCAGGTGAAGCTGGTTGAGAGAATGCCATGAGTGTGCAAAGCTGTCATCAAGGCAAAGGGTTGCTATTTGAAGAATCTCAAATATAAAATATATTTTGATTTGATTAACACTTTTTTCTTTACTACATGATTCCATATGTGTTATTTCATAGTTTTGATGTCAACACTATTATTCTACAATGTAACAAATAGTGAAAATAAAGAAAAACCCTTGAATGAGTAGGTGTGTCCAAACTTTTGACTGGTAATGTATATTAAAAAAAGTCCCATAAAAGGTAAAAAGATCATCTGCACACTGCCTTCTATTCCCCAATGTGAATTGTTTTAATGTTGTTTTTGTAACCTGACTGCACTACACATTTCCCATTCACGAAAAAAATAAGATATTGATTGATTGATTCCCTTGTGACATCCTACGAAAAAGGCAGCCAGGAGCTCTGAGAGAATGAAGAGGAGGTAGAGGGATTGGACAGCCCTCTCCAGAGGGAGGACTTTTGAGGTCCTCGTCAGTCAGGAAGAAGAGCAGGATAGAGAGCTGGAACAGGAAGGAGATCAGCCAGAAGCCAGCCAGCTCTGGCACCTGATCAGAGAGGGAGGAAGAGAGAGGAAGAGAGAGAGAGGGAGAGAGAAAGACACACACACACACACATACACGCACAGGCTCAGTGGGGCGTCCTAGCCAAAAGTGCACTCAGTGGGAACGTTTACACACATACACACACAAAGCACTCAAACAGATCAGACATTTGTGGAAGGGGGAAGAAGAGAGCACATAAAGCAAATGTTGTTTTCAGAGCAGTAGCTGTGCATGGATAAAATCACTGGGGAAGCCAAGCCCAAAAAAACAAACATATTACAACCTATGTGTTTGGATAATTGCGTTGTTTCCACTATAACCTGTTAGTTGATATGCCTTGCGACTGTGATATATAGGCCTAAAGGCCGAGATAATAAGAAGACACAGTGGCAGATACCAAAAACTATTTCGTCCAATCAACCTAAGCTAAATATGATGTGGCTGTCCATGGTTCTGAGAGGCAACCTGGCTAAAATGCTTGCTTGCTAGCCTAACTTCCATTCATGGGCAACGTTATCTAGTTAATATTAGCCTTCTACATCTAGCTAAATATTGAATTTCCATCCTCTCAGGCTAGGGGCACAATGCATGTATTTATGGTTGGATCAGAATCGCCATTATAATCACTGCCAGGTACGGAGAATTAAGTAAAACCACAAGTCCAAATCTCCATCCATGGCTAATTTAAGAAAGGGCCAATTTGATCAATTTGATCTAGCTCATGATAGATAGCCTACACATACAGAGGGGCGCTGTTTTGCTCGCTCGGATGCTTTCTCCGGTGAGATACACCATACAGCGCATTAGGAAAGTATTCAGACCCCTTGACTTTTTCCACATTTTGTTACGTTATAGCCTTATTCTAAAATGGGTTAAATAATTTATTTTTCTCATTAATTTACACACAGTACCCCATAATGACAAAGCAAAAACAGTTTTTTTTTTAAATTTTTACAAATGTATAAAAAATAAACAACAGAAATACCTTATTTACATAAGTATTCAGACCCTTTGCTATGAGACCTTGATCATCCTTGAGATGTTTCTACAACTTGATTGGAGTCCACCTGTGGTAAATTAAATTGATTGGACATGATTTGGAAAGGCACACACCTGTCTATATAAGGTCCCATAGTTGACAGTGCATGTCAGAGCAAAAACCAAGCCATGAGGTGGAAGGATTTGTCCGTAGAGCTCCGAGACAGGATTTTGTCGAGGCACAGATCTGGGGAAGGGTACCAAAATATTTCTGAAGCATTGAAGGTCCCCAAGAACACAGTGGCCTCCATCATTCTTAAATGGAAGCAGTTTGGAACCACCAAGACTCTTCCCAAAGCTGGCCGCCCGGCCAAACTGAGCAATCGGGGCAGTAGGGCCTTGGTCAGGGAGGTGACCAAGAACCCGATGGTCACTCTGACAGAGTTCCAGAGTTCGTCTGTGGAGATGGGAGAACCTTCCAGAAGGACAAGCATCTTTGCAGCACTCCACCAATCAGGCCTTTATGGTAGAGTGGCCAGACGGAAGCCACTCCTCAGTAAAAGGCACATGACAGCACGCTTGGATTTTGCCAAAAGGCACCTAAAGACTCTCAGACCATGAGAAACAAGATTCTCTGGTCTGATGAAACCAAGATTGCACTCTTTGGCCTGAATGCCAAGCGTCACGTCTGGAGGAAACCTGGCACCATCCCTACGGTGAAGCATGGTGGTGGCAGCGTCATGCTGTGGGGATGTTTTTCAGCGGCAGGGACTGAGAGACTAGTCAGGATCGAGGGAAAGATGAACGGAGCAAAGTACAGAGAGATCCTTGATGAAAACCTGCTCCAGAGCGCTCAGGACCTCAGACTTGAGCGAAGGTTCACCCTCCAACAGGACAACGACCCTAAGCACACAGCCAAGACAATGCAGGAGTGGCTTCGTGACAAGTCTCTGAATGTCCTTGAGTGGACCAGCCAGAGCCCAGACTTGAACCTGATCGAACATCTCTGGAGAGACCTGAAAATAGCTCTGCAGTGACGCTCTCCATCCAACCTGACCGAGCTTGAGAGGATCTGCAGAGAAGAATGGGAGAAACTCCCCCAAATACAGGCGTGCCAAGCTTCTAGCATCAAACCCAAGAAGACTCAAGGCTGTAATCGCTGCCAAAGTACTTAGTAAAGGGTCTGAATACTTATGTAAATGTCATATTTCAGTTTTGTTTTTGTTTTTTTATTAGCAAAAATGTCAAAAAAAATGTTTTTGATTTGTCATTATGGGGTATTGTGTGTAGATTGATGAGGGGAAAAAACAATTTAATACATTTTAGAATAAGGCTGTAACGTAACAAAATGTGTAAAAAGTCAAGGGGTCTGAATACTTTCCAAAGGCACTGTATATACAAGTATGTGGACACAATTTCAAATTAGTGGATTCGGCTATTTTAGCCACATCCGTTGTTAACAGCTGTATAAAATCGAGCACACAGCCATGCAATCTCAATAGACAAACATTGGCAGTAGAATGGTCCTACTGAAGAGCTTAGTGACTTTCAACGTGGCACCGTCATAGGATGCCACCTTTCCAACAAGCCCTACTAGAACTGCCCTGGTCAACTGTAAGTAATGTTATTGTTAAGTGGAAACGTCTAGGAGCAACAACGGCTCAGCCCTGAAGTGATAGGCCACACAAGCTCACAGAACGGAACTGGCGAGTGCTGAAGCGCGTAGTGCGTAAAAATCATCTGTCCTCGGTTGCAACACTCACTACCGAGTTCCATACTGCCTCTGGAAGCAACATCAGCACAAGAACTGTTCTGAACTGAGCTTCATGAAATGGGTTTCCATGGCCGAGCAGCCACACACAAGCCTAAGATCACCATGCGCAATGCCAAGCGTCGGCATGAGGGGGTATAAAGCTTGCCGCTATTGGACTCTGGAAACGCGTTCTCTGGAGTGATGAATCACACTTCACCATCTGGCAGTCCGACGGACGAATCTGGGTTTGGCGGATGCCAGCAGAACGATACCTGCCCCAATGCATAGTGCCAACTGTAAGGTTTGGTGGAGGAGGAATAATGGTCTGGGGCTGTTTTTCATGGTTCGGGCTAGGCCCCTTAGTTCCAGTGAAGGGAAATCTCAATGCTACAGCATACAATTACATTCTAGACAATTCTGTGCTTCCTACTTTGTGGCAACTGTTTGGGGAAGAAATAGTCCTGTTCCAGCATTACAATGCCCCCGTCCACAAAGTGAGGTCCATACAGAAATTGTTTGTTGAGATTGGTGTGGAAGAACTTGACTGGCCTGCACAGAGCCCTGACCTCGAAGCCCATCGCACACCTTTGGGATGAATTGGTACGCCGACTGCAAGCCAGGCCCAATCTCCCAACATCAGTGCCCGACTTCACTAATGCTGTTGTGGTTGAATGGAAGCAAGTCCCCGCAGCAATGTTCCAACATCTATTGGAGGCTGTTATAGAAGAGTGGATGCTGTTATAGCAGCAAAGGGGGGACCAACTTCATATTAATGCCCATGATTTTGGAATGAGATGTTTGCGAGCAGGTGTCCACATACTTTTGGTCATGTAGTGTACATTCTGCCTCTTGCGAACTGAAGAACAATTATGAAATACAGAGACGAAAGATACATTATTTTTTACTTTATTCCCCAGTTTTTTATTGGTCCATTTATTGGGGGAAGCATAGCTTCCCTTGGCATCCATGAATACATGCCACTGTTCCAGAGAGGAAGTTGGCTTCAGTTACCTTCTCTTTGAGGGTGCCGATATAGCCCAGATAGAGCCTGGTGATTTCACAGATGGTAAGCAGAACCACTCCAGTCACAAGGAGAGCTTGGTAGTACCCAGGCAGGTAATACAACTATGACAAGAAAGACAAATAATGCATTATTGATTTGGGTATGCTATAAATAATAAACAAAGCATTGTGGAACCTTGAGGCAACCTCTGTGAAGTCAGTAGGAAGAAGCCACCTTGTGATCCAACATGACAACAGCAGAGACCTACCAGCATGGGAACTAGAATATGTTGAAGTAGAGGAGCATCTGAAGGGGAAGGTGGGACAACAACTCATTGATTGGAATATAGAAACAAAGAGATAGATTGACCATAAAACAATGTATATTTGAAGTATATACATTTGAAGTATATAAATGCTTTCCTGAACACTCTCCAAAAGTATGCGAAATACTTTCCTAAAATACTTCTTCAAATACATTTCAGAGTAACAAATATATTGAATACATAGGCTATTTGAAACATCATACAATATTCTGCCTGTTCTTGGAAACAGGCCTACCTGTTTTGTCGTCTTGCTCCTTGCTGTAGTCACTGCTAAAGTTCCCTGTCCTGTTGTTGGTGAACACAGACCCACCGACGGAGGCCCATATGCAGGTTCTTGGGTGTGGGGGAGTAGAACACAGGTATGGTGGCTGCCCAATATAACCATGCCTGCTATCAGTTTGTTTGTGTGGGTGAAGGCAGCAACAGTGTGTGTGTAATGGTGTGTGTGTGATTGAGGGCTGCAGGGATTAGTTAGTTAACCAGACAGCAGTGTCTGTTAATTAGATTATCAGAGTGGAATGAGGAGGGATGACAGAGGGATTAGCACCCTAGACAGACATAGCTGCGTGGTGGCTGTGGCTCTGCACCTGGTTAGGGTTTTAATTAGTGGGAATAGAAGGTCTTTTCAGACGTCAAATTGAACATTACTTGTGAAAATAACGACAATAGATAAAACCCATCAATGGAGACAATTTTCCCAGCTAGAACATTTGGTTCCTTGGAAGTTGAAGGAAACGTATGTTTTTGGTTTCACATTGATTGTAGGAACGAAGCCATACGTTTCCTGACCTTTAAAACTGAACGTTTTTTAAATGTTCTGAGAACAGAAGTGAAAAGTTTTAGGTTGCAGAGGGGTTCTGAGAACATTTTACTCTGGTGGCTTGAAAGTTTTCCTGGGAGGTTTTATTAACGCTCTGAGAACTGAAATTTTGATTTTTTTTAGATAACTTCCTTAAAACTTTCACTGAATGTTTCTATAAGACTTTTAATAGAATGCCATCTTATTTTGGGTAACTCTTTATTAGCGCCAAGCACAGATAGGACACACAGAAATTAATTTCCTTAGGCATTAATCATGTAAACACATGTATTTTTTATTGTTACATGGCATCAGTGGAGATTTGAACCTATAATCTTCTATCCTTTATTGATGGAATTATTCCACTGTGCCACCAGGATGGAGCTAACATGACATGTTTTTTTTTTTACATATACAAAGCTGTTCATTTTAGTCTATTCAAACAGACCCCATTTCAAAGGAAACAAGCACTAATTAAGATCAGGTGTGGCCAATTAGTGGGCGTGGCCAACATACCTGAACACACTTTGCAAGATAGAGGATAGAGGGAGTTTTGTTGATGCTGATAATAGAATGTATACATTTTTAAATAAGATTCTTAGAATGTTCTCTGAACGTTATGAACGTTTTCTTGTGGTTTTTATGGAAAGTTTTCTTAACGTTCTCTGAACAATCTGAGTACATGACTTTAAATAGAACCATGAGGAAACCTGGTAGAAACGTTATGCTGAAGTACTGAAATTCCCACAGAAGAACATTGCTTCTTAACATTCTGGGAACAATTTGAGAACATTCCCAATGTCAAACCAGTTGGAGAACATTCCTAGAACATTCCCAAAATAAAAATGAAATGTACTGTACCATGTTTGAACTTTTAGGAAACGTTCTGTTAAAGTAATAAAATACCATGGAAATTACATTTTTTTGTGAAGTTCCTTAAATGTGCTGAGAATGTCCTAATGCCAAGCAACTATCCTGTACCATTCCCAGAAAGTTGTGGGAAGGTTGTATGCAAAATAACCATAGGACAACCACACATTCACCTAGCTCTAAGAAACGTATGGTTCTCAGAACATTAAGTGCTAGCTGGGAATCCCCTGTAATTGATATAAGGATTAATGCAGGTCCTCTTTTAAATCAACATCACACATATTTGCTACACTAACTAATGTCAATCATTACCTGGTGAGACTTTGCTCTATGACTTTAATGAGATGTAGATAAATCATGTTTTGATGGAAGATAGAAAGTGTTGTAAGCATACAATTAGAAATTTGAACACTAGATGGACATGAACCTTCTTATGATGGTATAAAGGTCAGACGTTTTGGTCAGGGAGTTGGTCAACCATGGTTTGCAAGTGCTGTGATAAGATATTTTGTAAAATAATGAATTTGAAGAATTTATCTGCACTGGATGTTTGTTAACTAGTTTGCCTGCCAGTTTAAGAGGAATGATTCCATTAATTTTTCAAATTAACTGCCAATATTCCAACATTCCATTCAAACAATGCAGTCAATCCACAGCCATAAACTGGCTGAAATCAGTTGGACTTGCAAAAATTACTGATATTGTATCATATAATAGCACTCATAGCTTTCCAAGAAAACAACAATTGAGACATTTATGGTCTGTTTACATATATTATAGAGGCTATTTAGACAGAAAACTGGCCAACAACCCATATAAACTGTATTTATAATTATATGACAATATTTTCTGTTGACAATAATTCTATTACACAATTTCTAATACATCACATGGCTTACTTTTATTTTCCTGCATAAGTAAAATCCGGATTATGTAAATTCTGCCATTCACCCCAATTAGACTGGTTTGGATTTCTCCCTGGCCAATCTGGCTGCCATTTTCACCCCATTCTGGATCTTTGAGGGTTTATTACATAGCAAGTTAATAGGACCTCTACGTAATGGTAGTCAGCCACAAAAAGTCAGTAAGAGACACATTTTACGTAACTTGTGAAACTTTTATTGACAAATCCATGATTCAATTAATGTTTCAATTACAGTGAGACAGTGTAGTAGCGCTCTGCTTTGCTCAACTGCACAGAGTCTGTAGTCCTCAGACTGGGGCCTGGCCTATGTTGTGGCCTTGGGGCCCCACTCGTCATGTGTGACAGGGTGCAGTGACAGAGTATGGCCACGAGATGTCACTGTGCTCACAGCTCATCCCTGGGGGCATGCAGGGGAAAGTACTGAAACTCCTCAGGCACCTCCTCTCCCTTCTGAGATCTCTTGTAGAAACCCAGTGAGTCCAGCAGACTGCTGATCTCATCCACCTTCATCTTCTTTACAGGGACAGTCTGATACAACACACACACACACAAAATGCTTGCATTTACAGGCAGGCAACCATAATGTAAGATATACAACATCACTGTCATGTCTCTTTCTCTTGAACTGTTTTCAGATTACACCTATATGTTCCTATTTTTTTATTGTGTAATGTCTTCTTGCAATAGTTATTTATTCCCCTCTAATCTTGTCATGCTTGAGTCAAGGTCATAAAATAGATGTTATTTCCCCAATCATTTAGCTGATAATCTTTGTCTGACCTTTAGACAATATTATAGCGATCTTAACACAACATTAGTCAAAAAGTTTTGACTTCTTAGCGTAAGAGTTAAGGTGTTGGCTATACAGTCGCTGGACCTGGGTTTGAGGCCCTGTCAGGCCTACCCCCAAATCCACTACATTGGTGTCAGAAGTGGGATGACGCCCATGAGGCCTTTGGAGAGGCATGTACATGTAAGGTACTTGGTATAGAGAAGTGTGGGGACAAGCTCTCCCAAAGGAAGGGGCTAATGTAACAACCTTAACTGAACACCCAGAGACTTTGTCAAGAGGTTCGGAGCTCTTGGCGTAATGGTTAACGTGTTGGCTTGATGGTCACTGAACCTGGGTTCAAGTCCCAGCCAGAGCTACCCCCTGAATTTGCTACAATATGTAACACCTTCAATGGGTATCATATCTTACCTGAACAACCTCATCCTTATCATTGTAGAAGATCAGATGTGGATTCTTCTCCTCCCCTGAATCATATTCCAGGTTGTGACTTCAATGGAAAGTAGGCTCAAGGAAAACACATGTAGGGCCAGTTTCCTGAGCACAGATTATTCCTAGTCCTGGACTAAAAATCTATTTCAGTGAAGATTCTCCATTAAGCATTATTTTTTTTTATCCAGGACTAGGCTCACTCTCCGCCCGTAGGATACAAGAACACCAACAAATTCAAGAACAATCTACTTCTGGATATATTTCAAGTGAGATCAAACATCATTCAACATACTTGAACAGTGACACATGATGGATTTGAAGAACTTTGTTGGACCCACTTGTGGTTTGAGGCCAATTCATGATGGCATAAAACTGGGTTGTCGCTAACACACATTGTCTTGTTTATCTGGAAGGTCATGAGAAACTATAAAAGGCTTTATTGGTTGGGTCAATTTTGGAAAAAGATTACGTGAGGTACCATGTAACCATATGAGGTAATGCTAACATACTACAATACAATGCAAACTTGATCTCCCAAGAAATCATTAGAAAGCTACATAGTAACCATAATAAAATTATAATCCAGCCTCATAAATCTATTTGAGATCTACACAGAAACCAATAGAAGGATACTACAATGCCCATCGCTCCATGAGAAACGTATAGAGCTCAGGCATCTTCTTGATGGCTCATCCAACCACACTTGGAGCCTAAGGGAAAAACAGACAATGAGTATTTTTCATTCACAACCACCATGTCTAATGTGTTTCTCAGTTAGATCAAAGATAGTGAAGACTTCATGTATCAACAATAAATATGTGTCCTGATCCTATGTTGAACGTTTAATGAAGGTATGTTCAGCTCTCACAGAGTACATGAGTAAATTAATGTCACACATTTAATCACCACATCATTCACATTTAAGACTTACCTTAAGTATGCCCTTGGCTATTACAGGTCTCTCTTCAACGGCAATATCTGTGACATATTTTTCTGCCGTCATTCTTGTAGCAGAAAAGGCCAGCGTGAGCAACAAAACGGCCCACATGTTTGAGCCTAAACCTTGCTTCTTGCGTCTTCAATGGAGTTCTTCAATAGCTGACACAGTTTTAAACTACCTTTCGGGTGACCATAGGACACGTGCTCAGGTTGGACTGAACCAGGTGGCAGGGCCAAGGGGGGAGAGGGTCTATTGGGAAAATGAGTATTTTTCTTTTGGGTTTTCTTTTGGTTTATTCTCAATGACAGACATTATGGGGAATAGTCACCAGATGGGAATGGTACTTGTTCCACTTGAAATGGCTTGAATATAAATATAGATGTTAATGTACAGGATTGGAACCCCTGACTAACTCTGTAAAATATCCTCTGTCTCTGTAGCAACCCTTAAGGACACCTGCATCCTTATCACTTTTTCCCAGATCATGATGTCAGTGAAAACAGACCTCATGGCACACTGCAGTGCAATAACTTCAACTTGTTAAGCCTGTGAGGGAAAAAAAGTATTTGATCCCCTGCTGATTTTGTACGTTTGCCCACTGAAAAAGAAATGATCAGTATATAATTTTTTAATGGTAGGTTTATTTGAACAGTGAGAGACAGAATAACAACAAAAAAATTCCAGAAAAACGCATGTCAAAAATGTTATAAATTGATTTGCATTTTAATGAGGGAAATAAGTATTTGACCCCCTCTCAATCAGAAAGATTTCTGACTCCCAGGTGTCTTTTATACAGGTAATGAGCTGAGATTAGGAGCACACTCTTAAAGGGAGTGCTCCTAATCTCAACTTGTTACCTGTATAAAAGACACCTGTCCACAGAAGCAATCAATCAATCAGATTCCAAACTCTCCACCATGGCCAAGACCAAAGAGCTCTTATCAGGATGTCAGGGACAAGATTGTAGACCTACACAAGGCTGGAATGGGCTACAAGACCATTGCCAAGCAGCTTGGTGAGAAGGTGACAACAGTTGGTGTGATTATTCGCAAATGGAAGAAACACAAAAGCACTGTCAATCTCCCTCGGCCTGGGGCTCCATGCAAGATCTCACCTCGTGGAGTTGCAATGATCATGAGAACGGTGAGGTATCAGCCCAGAACTACACGGGAGGATCTTGTCAATGATCTCAAGGCAGCTGGGAATCCTGCAGCGCCCGCAAGGTCCCCCTGCTCAAGAAAGCACATACACAGGGCCGTCTGAAGTTTGCCAATGAACATCTGAATGATTCAGAGGAGAACTGGGTGAAAGTATTGTGGTCAGATGAGACCAAAATTGAGCTCTTTGGCATCAACTCAACTCGCCGCCAAGGCAACAAAGGAGTGGCTCAAGAAGAAGCACATTAAGGTCCTGGAGTGGCCTAGCCAGTCTCCAGACCTTAATCCCATAGAAAATCTGTGGAGGGAGCTGAAGGTTCGAGTTGCCAAATGTCAGCCTCGAAACCTTGATGACTTGGAGAAGATCTCCAAAGAGGAGTGGAACAAAATCCCTCCTGAGATGTGTGCAAACCTGGTGGCCAACTACAAGAAACGTCTGACCTCTGTGATCGCCAACAAGGGTTTTGCCACCTAGTACTAAGTCATGTTTTGCAGAGGGGTCAAATACTTATTTCCCTCATTAAAATGCATATCAATTTGTAGTATTTTTTACATGCGTTTTTCTGGATTTTGTTGTTGTTATTCTGTCTCTCACTGTTCAAATAAACCTACCATTAAAATTACAGACTGATCATGTCTTTGTCAGTGGGCAAACGTACAAAATCAGCAGGGGATCAAATACTTTTTTCCCTCACTGTATGTATGATGGTAAAATACCTGCTAAACTGTGTGCTGCAGGGAATATTGAAACATATTAAAACACTTTAGAATGTGGCACACTAGAACATTTCTCTATTTCCCCACAGATGGAGCTACAGTAGAACAACAGTATGTCAGGTGGAAATAAATGGTTACATTGAATAAGCATTCCTTTAATCATTTACATTTTAGTCATTTAGCAGACGCTCTTATCTGTGGTGGTGGGGGGGGGGGGGGGGGCAATGTTACATACTTAGATTGAGGATAACTAGCGAGTAGTGAGGCGACGTGAGTTGACATCATGCCGGATGCGGGAGCTTTGCAATGATCGATGTCCAGCCGCTGACCACATCAGAGAGGCTACGGGGCAAACAGACTACCACTGCTGCTCCCCTCTCTAATCTCAGCCTGCTAATGGAAAACACATGGCCACGGTGGTGTGTGGCTGGGAGGGGGTAATGGCTTCAGTGTGAGCCTGGGACACACACAGACACAGAGCAGTGACGCGCCCTCCCTGTGTTCCATTTAGCGTTAGAGAGTCAGACGGCCATTATCAAACCCTGGAGAAAGCTGGGTGGGCAGAATTGAGAGCCGTATCATCTCAGCAAATTAAGCCAGGATAAAGAGGGTGTGAATAACCATGACTTGGCTGGAAAAGGGGAGAGCAAGACAGCGATAAGGCAAGCCGGATCTAGTTAGGCAGGAGGCGAGCCAGAGAGGGGAAAGTCCATGGTGGCAACATACGTTTCAGTAATTCTTGGCACCGAAAATAGTCAAAAGAATGCCTGCATCTCATACAATGTACTCAATGTCTGCAACCGCTTGAGGCTTGAGTGTATTTATCAGTATGCTTTTGATTACATTGACTGTAGGACCATTGGTTCAGTGCATAAAAATATACGCTCTGTTGCTCTGAATCATTTCCCTCTCCAGCTTTTGGACAGAAAGAGCTGAATCTTGTGACCATTTTCCATCCCAATCTCTGGAGCATAGTGAGGTTCTCTACTCCAGGTTAGAGAGGAAGTTAAAAAGCTCTGGAATATGTGAAAACTGAAACCTGGAGACACACTGCCTCGTCTGCATAGATAGTGGATGGGGGTGTGGAAAGAGCGAGGGAAGGATGGAAAGCAAGAGAGAGGGCTAGAGGGAATGAGAGAGACAGCGAGAGACAGAGAGTAAAGGAAGAGAGAAAGTGAGAGGGGAAGGGAGAGAGAGAGAGAGCGTTTGACTGACCTGTTTTCTATTAGACACAGAGCTCCTTAATACACTCTCAGCAGAATTATGCTGACAAAGGGGGAAAAAATAGTTAAGGCTATTTAAAGTCCCAGACAACTGTTTGCATACCCCTCTCTTTCCACCATAAAACAATCTGGATGGAGACGGATTGTAGATGTATTCATTCTCTCCCAAAGTATTCCCATTCATCAGTTATGCCATGTTTACAACAAGACAAGATGATAACTAATGAATCATACAACCATACTTACTAACAAAGTGTCTTCACTACAGAAGCAGTGTGGTTGAATGTTAAAAAGGTCAATGTCCGTGCGAAAATGCAATTAGCATAATAGAAAAATACCAATAACAATCTGTCAGTTTAAGCTAGAGATTTTTTATTTTTTTTTGCATCGGATGCGTCTCAATCTACCGCATCCACCGATGTAACACTTCCGCCTCTGTGGAGAAAGGTGACAGAGCTAGAGCGATGTTTGTCAGACCATGAGACATCCCGAAAATCGCTCTTCTCACAAAATCATCTGTGCCGTCCGAACGGTTTGAACTACAAGCTATTATGTCGCCTCTATGGAAAGAGACTCTCACAAATACGATGGTGTTCTCCGTTTTGCTCTACGACTCCCACAAGTGTCTTGGGACTCGTCTGAAGTCGGTACAGCCGATCTGCCAACTTCGGTCTGTAGCGTCCGTACAGTTTGGGCTACACACTAATATGACCCCTCTGTACAGGTGAGACTCTCACGAACACGTACATGTCAACACGTACATGTCAGTTGTTTTTCTAGGACGCCCACAGGCCTCACAAGACTCATCTGAAGGTCCCCCAGTACCAGTTGAAAACATTTATGGAAGCATATATGGAGACTGTTTAGTAACAAAACTAAGGGGTTAAATACATGTACAAAAATTAAATAACAAATGTTTGCTGATCTTTCTTATATCTCTCAGATATAGGATAGACACCTCAGAACAAACTTTCTTTAGATTTTATGAGGGGATTATCTGTTGTTCCATGTAGTGAATCTGTTATTCAATGCGTTTGTATGGGCTAATAGCAGTAAGGCCAAATAAAACTTAATCAAATAATGTTTTACTATTTTTTTTTATACTTCAAGGGGTCTTAAAATTCCAAATCAAATATCAAAATTATACTTGGTATAACCCCACCCTAGTATTATAGGTTAATATTGCGCTGAGATAACTGTTTCATTGCATGTCACAACTTTGTTAGCCTACACTATAAAGGCCTTGTTGTTTCAGTAGAGCACTCTTTGGATTTAGTTATAATTTGCAGAAAAGATGTTTCAATATCTGCTGACACTTCAAACCCACACGTTAAGCATAATTGCATTACATGACATACTTATTTTAAATATTATTTTATTACTTACCCATTATCCTTTTTTGTATTTCTATGACAGATATATCATAATAGTGTTGCCGAATGTTTATTTGTGATCGCATGCAATGTGGTTGTCTTCAACCAGCATAGTATGTCAGAATATCCCATTTGAGTGTGGTGCCATTGTGAGGGAGTTTTGAGTTTTGGGCTATATTATCCTATTATAATGACAGTGTTAAATCACGGAGCAAGTAGATGTCACTGGCAATATATAAACACATATGGGATCCCAGCATTATTTCCTTATGGTGAAACACTGACCTCAGCGTGCTGTGGTTAGTGTGTGTGTGTGTGTGTGTGTGTGTGTGTGTGTGTGTGTGTGTGTGAGTGGTTTAGGGCGAGGGAAAACACCAGCTCCATTTCCAGTAAAAGTCATTTCATAGCTACTGCAGCTCCACATGCTGAACAATGACACTCAACGTGACAAAGCACTGCAATTAAACAATGTCTCTTGCTGTAAGATAATATGTTACAATATGTTGCCATGAACATCAGACAGTAGATGAGATACTTTCAATGATATGTGTATAGTTTCAAGTCAGGAATTTACTATGAAAACTTATGGCGACTTGAGTGAACATGTACTTCTCCCTCAATGCTGAAATACTCTGCTT